TATATATATTATATACATATATATATATTATATACATATATATATATATTATATACATATATATATATATATATATTATATATATATATATACACACACATATATGTATTATATACATATATATATATATATATATTATACATATATATATAATATATATGAAAATGTATGTATATAAATATGTGTGTGTGTGTGTAATATATTATATATATTATTTATAAATTATATGCGCGGTACTTATTGGAAAGCAATCTATATCAGAGATAGAGCTAACATATTTAGTTGGATTGATGTGAGTTTGTGACCCTGGGTTTCACGCTTTTGTAATCTTCTCACAAACTCCTTAATTTTTTTAAATCTTGGATTTATGTAGGGTTGCGTGCATTGGTGTTTTTTATGGAAGTGGGAGGAAAAAATGTCGTCGTAACGCCAATCATACTTACGCAAACATGTATGCAGGCCTGTACATCTATTGAGGAACGCAGACACACACACATGCTCGCCCACCGGTGCTCACACAAGCATAAACATATCTGAACAGTATGGGATTTGACATATATATGTATATGTGTGCTACTGTGTACATACGTAAGCATTTGATTGCTGAATTCAATGATGGATTGTGTAGCAAATAAATTTCCTGAATGTAGCAGACCGTTTTTATATTTTTCCGCTGAATAATTTCCTCGCGTACATGTATATACGTATGATGAGGTTTGTGTAAAACTATGATAGGTAAAAATTGCTATTCTTTTTAATTTATTAAGGCTGTTTTGTTATTTTAAAGCCGATTATTTGCTTGTTTTTGTTGATTGCGCATATGTAAATAGTAGAAATTCCAATTTGTAATTTTATATATATATATATATATATATATATATATATATAATATAAACATATATCTATATAATATATATTAAAGAATGAATCAGTTTGTGTGACGAACGCAAAAGCGCGAAACCCACAAACTCACATGAAGTATACATATATATATATATTGAAATGGAGAAAGTCCGACAATTATTTTAAGACATTTTTATGTTTATACATTCTTTTTATAGATAGAATTATTTAAGTAAATACTCTGTTTATAATATACAGTATTAACAACATTTACCGGCCTGAATGTCCGAAACATTTTCATAGAAAATATGCGTCCTTCGGCAGGAATCGAACCGTAATATAGCCTGACGTGCTTTACCGATTTAGCCACAGAGGATCGTTTCGGTTAGCAAGGTCGATTTTACTGTTTTTAAACTACAATGATTTTTTCTCTTACATACATATCTGATCGATGCATATATATATATATATATATATATATATATATATATGTGTGTGTGTGTGTGTGTGTGTGTGTGTGTGTGTGTGTGTGTGTGTATTATTTATGTTAGTTATATTATTTTTATATATGTTACTTATAGGATTAATACAAATATAAAGTTTGTCACTTAGCTGATTTGTGTTACTTTCAAACATTCCGACTCCAGAATTTCGTAGACAATCATTTCGTCCACTCCTTAGGGGGTTAACAGCAAATTACTGTTTATATTTCTCGTTTTTTTTTCTATTATATATGCGCTTTTGATTGGTGCAAGTTTTTTTTTTCATTTCATAATGTGTGCGTGTGTCTGTATGTGCGCGCTTATAGGCCGACCTTTACCTTTATATATATATATATATATATATATATATAGCCTATATATATATATATAGGCAAGCTTCATTAAATATGACAGACAATGTGCTTTAAGTTTTATATAATTTCTCATATGATCTTATAATTTTTTTTTCTTTTCCGTAGATAAATTATACAAAAACTGCCCAAATGTTTTATTTTTCCAAGCGCTTTCGGCTATACACTTAGCCATTTTCAAGGATGAAATATATTTACTGTTAACTGGAAATGGATTGTTGTATGTATTTAGTATAATAGAATGTTTTATTTTCAAAACATAGTGAAGATATTGTGTCCATGTTCATAGTTGATATTACTGAGTGTTGTTTTGTTTTTTTTTCCTTTTTATTAATAAGGCTTCCATTATTTTTAGCCTTTTTTTAACATGTAGACGATGCTAATATATTTGTATTGTCAACAAATATGTTGCAAATAGGGTCACACAGTTATATATATATATATATATATATATATATATATATATATATATATATATATATATATATAAACATATGTTATAATAAAAAGAAAGGACAGTAAGTTATATAATCCGATGTTCTTATTGGTATTTTTTAGTTTTACAAAACATTAATTATATAATTAAATTTGAGGGTTTTAGCTTCCGTTTTTGAAACATGGTTATTACTGTGTAGCGAAGAAAAACATTTTAAATCAGTTAATTTACAATATATATATATATATATATATATATATATATATATATATATATATATATATATATATATATATAATGCGAGTAGGAAGGTTGTCAATTTATATTTCATTGCAAATTTGTTCGTTTTTTTGTTTTTTTGGGTATTTTTTTTTTTTTTTGTATGAAATGGTTTGTCTTGAGTTTTTGTCATTTGAGATCTGGAGATTGACTTGGCCATTTTAGAACGTCTATTCTATTTGAATTTAACCATGATTTTGTAAGCTTTGCAGTATGTTTAGGATCGTTGACTTGTTGAAAGACCCAACCTGGTTTCAAGCCCAGCGGATGTGTACTCGGATGTAAATTTCTCTCCGAAATATCCCTATAATATTCTCCATTCATTCTCCTTTCTATTATTTCAATGTTCCCTACACTTTGGGCACTAAAGCAACCCCAGATCATGATTGATCCGCCTCCAGATTTTAATGTCGGGATAGCATGTTACAATAATATTCGGTACCCTTCTTTCTCCAGACATTTGCCCCCAAATTTCAATTTTCGTTTCGTCTGACTAAAGTACATTTTCCCCAAATGTTGCAGGTTTGATACAATGCTCGTTTGCAAAATCCAGTCTAGCAAGAACGTGTTTTCGCTTGAGAAGTGTTTTTTTTTCTTTTCCTTGGAGTCCTCGAAAAGATGTTATATCGACGAAGTGATCGACTAATTCTATCCGTACACACTTTTACTCCACTTACTTCTAATCCTCCCTGAAGTTTTTAAGCGTAACTCGGGGTCCGTTGCCAACTTTTCTCGCTAATAATTTTACCATACATTCTGTTACCTTCCTAGGACAACCAGGACTTTGGGGGGGGGGGTGACGAATGGAATCACACGTCTTCTAGTGACGAACTATTGTATATAACTGAACTCAATGGCAGATATCTTCCGATAAACAAGTCCATTTGTATGAAGGTCAACAATACGTTTCTTTTCCCCATTTTGTCAATGTTTGAAGTACGGTTGGCAGAAAAAGAATGACGCATTACTTTTTAATTATTCCTGAAAGTAATCATAGAATTAATCTGAAATGTTGTAAAAACAACCTCGTCCTAATTTGAAACATTCTAGTAAAATTTGAACACTTTTATAAAAAAAAAAACCGTTGAAAATAAACATATGTGATGCAAGTTTTGAGTTAAATATTGGTTTTTCTTCGTGGGATATTTAAAACAAATTTAAAAAATATGTGATTGTTTGACTGAATACCTAAATATAAGTTCCTCCTGCAGCAAAATTTTAATTAGTGCAAATGTATTAGAAATACCTAAAAAACATTCTTCATAATGTGTTGTAAACTTTTGCGTAGCACTCTATATGTATGTGTATGCATTGTATATATGTATTTACTTATGTTTGTATGGATTCGTGTGTACCACACACATACACTATATATATAAATATATATATATATATATATATATATATTAGGGATAATTCTAAGTAGGATATAAATCTAAAGAGAGCTCAATGTAATAGCAAGAAGAATTTTTTTTTTTTTATATATATATATATATATATGAAGTGATATAGAAATGGGAGGGGAGTAGGGAGAAAAGAAAAAGGAAAAAGAAAGGAGAGGGAGAGGGAGAGGGAAGTAAAGAGAAAGAGGCTGTAATTGGGTTTTAGCAATTTATGTAAAGAATAGATTTTAATGCTTGATAGAAATTTAGATATATCACTTCCGTTAAGTTAACCGTCTAAATAAGTCAAGGTCTGGTCACTCCTCCTCCCCCAATACTAAGTATGATTGAGAGAGATATGAAATTAATCCCTCCCTATACCCTACCATGTCTCTTAACTACCCCTTTTACACTCTCTGTTAAATTACAAAAACTTACACTACCCATCAATTTTAATTTCATACTTATACATCTGCAAAATGTTATATAGAAAATATTCTTTTATGTGCCGTGTACCTTACAGGCGTGGGCAACCATGGCTCTCCACAAGTTCCTATACTTTGTGGCCCTTAACAATATTTGTATTTTTATTATCCGACCCTTTTGCTGTTCTGTTTATACAACCTCGTCAGGTATGTTGCTCGGAGTTTCATTTCTCTTCACTATTGCATTCCGTATGTCCTTTGAGTGTCAAATTCGCCGAAACTTCTTTTCCTTATAAGAAATGTAAACAGTCTCTTTCTGGTTCCAAGTCTAAGCACACTTTTACCTCCATTTTCTTTAAAAGTTCCTCGTTGTTCTCATTCTCCATCCAAGGTATTCTCAGCATCCTTCTGTGGAACCAGATCTCGGTTGGCCTCAAGTCTCGTCTTCATCTGTAAGAAAAATGTCCTGCATTCACTGCCAGAAAGAAGGTTTTATACCACATCGCAAATCAGCGAACTTTTCTTTGTTTCAACGAAATTTTCCTCTTTTCTAATACTTTGCTTAGCTTTTGGAGAGGCATCTTTTAATTTGAAAATTGTTATTTCAGAATATTATAATATTCCGTGTACCGTGCGATCCTGAGTGGAATATGACGGAGAGTCGCATTTTGCAAGCTGTTGGTAGTTTGTCAACACCGGGTCAGATTTCATAAGATAATCGATGAATATTTAGCATTCGATCTTGTTTATGAGTTTCAGTAAATAAAATATTTCTTTTTCAGCATTGTGTAGCGATGCACACCGAAAGGACTGCCGCTGGGATGTGGTTCCCGGCGTTCTGTGAGGAAAGAGCGGGTTACATATGCCAAGGCTATCGAAGTAAGTATAGGATTTATATAATCCAAGAAAGACAAAAAAGCCACTAAGACACATTGGGTTACTGATTATAAACGAATAAGAAAAAAGAAAAACATTATTAAGGAGAACACAAAAAAGGAGAAGAATGAAGAAGACAATAGATAAGAATTAAGTTTGCATTGAAATATTTGAAGATCAAAGCAAGAAGCCGGAAGAGAGTTCCACAAGCAAGAAGTGCGATAGAAGAAACTGTTAGCATAGAACGTACGGTTGCATGTAGCCATTTCAACTATAAATTACATGCAAGAAATTATTAAGGAGATATAACAGGAATAATAAAAAAGTAATCAAGAAGACAGTATTTAACGATTGCCATTGCATTTAAATTTTCAAAGATCAAAGCTGGAAAACAAGAAGCCGGAAGAAAATTCCACAACCAAGAAATGCAAGAGAGAAAAAAACTGAGTATAGAACTTATGGTTACATCTTGCCATTTAATTTGTAAAATTATGTGACCTAGCAGCCAATCTAGTACTGCGCTTAAATTCGTGAAGTCTAGGTACCATAGAGGAAAGTTTATCAGAACAATTACCATGAAAATATTTATAAAAAATGTACAAAGAAGCTACGTTATGGCGGTAAAAAAGGCAATTACATTCCAATTTTTGAAGATCAAAGTTGGCCGGAAGAGAGTTCCACAGGCAAGAAGTGCAAGAGAAGAAACTTAAAGAACTTATGGTTACATCTTGCCATTTCAACTGTAAAATGATGAGACCTAGCTGCCAATCTAGTACTATGCTTAAATTCATAAAGTCTAGGTACCATAGAGGAAAGTTCATCAGAACAAATGCCATGAACATACTTATCAGATTAAGAAACTGTTAGCATAGAACTTATGTTTACATCTTGCCATTTCAACTGTAAAATGATGAGACCTTTCAACCAATCTAGTACTATGCTTAAATTCATAAAGTCTAGGTACCATAGAGGAAAGTTAATCAGAACAAATGCATGAACATATTTTATCAGATTAAGAAACTGTTAGCATAGAACTTATGGTTACATCTTGCCATTTCAACTGTAAAATGATGAACCTAGAAACTGCCAATCTAGTACTATCTAGCTATTAAATTCATAAAGTCTAGGTACCAAAGAAAAAGTTCATCAGAACAAATGCCATGAACATACTTATCAGATTAAGAAACTGTTAGAATAGAACTTATGGTTAATCTTGCCTTTCAACTGTAAAATGATGAGACCTTTCAAACCAATCTAGTCCATGCTTAAATTCATAAAGTCTAATTATAGAGGAAAGTTCTTCAGAACAAAAAACATTTATCGAGACCAAATGCCAATCTAGTATTTCCATGCTTAAATTCATAAAGTCTAGGTACCAAAGAGGAAAAGCATCAGAACTTAAATGCCACTTACTTATCAGATTAAGAAACTGTTAGCATAGGCATAGAAAGTTCATCTTGCCATTTCAACTGTAAAATGATTTTTATTTTTTCAACCAATCTAGTACTATGCTTAAATTCATAAAGTCTAAATTCATTCATCAGAGGAAAGTTCATCAGAACAAATGCCATGAACATACTTATCAGATTAAGAAACTGTTAGCATAGAACTTACAGTTACATCTAGCCATTTCAACTGTAAAATGATGAGACCTTTCAACCAATCTAGTACTACTTAAATTCATAAAGTCTAGGTACCATTTCATCAGAACAAATGCCATGAACATACTTATCAGATTAAGAAATTGTTAGCATAGAACTTATGGTTACATCTTGCCATTTCAACTGTAAAATGATGAGACCTTTCAACCAATCTAGTACTATGCTTAAATTCATAAAGTCTAGGTACCAAAGAGGAAAGTTCATCAGAACAAATGCCATGAACATACTTATCAGACTGTTAAGAACTTATGGTTACATCTTGCCTTTTCAAGTAAAATGATGAGACCTTTCAACCAATCTAGTACTATGCTTAAATTCTAAAGTCTAGGCCAAAGAGGAAAGTTTCAGAACAAATGCCATGAACATACTTATCAGATTAAAAACTGTTAGCATAGAACTTATGGTTACATCTTGCCATTTCAACTGTAAAATGATGAGACCTTTCAACCAATCTAGTACTATGCTTAAATTCATAAAGTCTAGGTACCAAAGAGGAAAGTTCATCAGAACAAATGCCATGAACATACTTATCAGATTAAGAAACTGTTAGCATAGAACTTATGGTTACATCTTGCCATTTCAACTGTAAAATGATGAGACCTTTCAACCAATCTAGTACTATGCTTAAATTCATTTAAAGTCTAATCACCACCAGAGGAAAGTTACCTTATCAGATTAAGAAACTGTTAAAGTTAAGAAACATCTAGCCATTTCAACTGTAAAATGATGAGACCTTTCAACCAATCTAGTTGCTTAAATTCATAAAGTCTAGGTACCAGAACAAATGAACAAATGCCATGAACATTTTATCAGATTAAGAAACTGTTAGCATAGAACTTATGGTTACATCTTGCCATTTCAACTGTAAAATGATGACACCTTTCAACCAATCTAGTAAATGCTTAAATTCATAAAGTCTGGGTACCAAAGAGGAAAGTTCATCAGAACAAATGCCATGAACATACTTATCAGATTAAGAAACTGTTAGCATAGAACTTATGGTTACATCTTGCCATTTCAACTGTAAAAATGATGAGACCTTTCAACCAATCTAGTACTATGCTTAAATTCATAAAGTCTAGGTACCAAAGAGGAAAGTTCATCAGAACAAATGCCATGAACATACTTATCAGATTAAGAAACTGTTAGCATAGAACTTATGGTTACATCTTGCCATTTCAACTGTAAAATGATGAGACCTTTCAACCAATCTAGTACTATGCTTAAATTCATAAAGTCTAGGTACCAAAGAGGAAAGTTCATCAGAACAAATGCCATGAACATACTTATCAGATTAAGAAACTGTTTAGAACTTATGGTTACATCTTGCCATTTCAACTGTAAAATGATGAGACCTTTCAACCAATCTAGTACTATGCTTAAATTCATAAAGTCTAGGTTAATAGAGGAAAGTTCATCAGAACAAAATGAATGGTTACATCTAGCCATTTCAACTGTAAAATGATGAGACCTTTCAACAATCTAGTACAATCTAGAACAAATACTTATGATTAAAAACTGTTAAATTAGAGACATGGTTACATTACCATTTCAAAAATGATGAGACCTTTCAACCAAAGTCTAAAGTCTAGGTACCAAGAGGAAAGTTCATCAGAACAAATGCCATGAACATACTTATCAGATTAAGAAACTGTTAGCATAGAACTTATGGTTACATCTAGCCATTTCAACTGTAAAATGATGAGACCTTTCAACCAATCTAGTACTATGCTTAAATTCATAAAGTCTAGGTACCATAGAGGAAAGTTCATCAGAACAAATGCCATGAACATACTTATCAGATTAAGAAACTGTTAGCATAGAACTTATGGTTACATCTTGCCATTTCAACTGTAAAATGATGAGACCTTTCAACCAATCTAGTACTATGCTTAAATTCATAAAGTCTAGGTACCATAGAGGAAAGTTCATCAGAACAAATGCCATGAACATACTTATCAGATTAAGAAACTGTTAGCATAGAACTTATGGTTACATCTAGCCATTTCAACTGTAAAATGATGAGACCTTTCAACCAATCTAGTACTATGCTTAAATTCATAAAGTCTAGGTACCATAGAGGAAAGTTCATCAGAACAAATGCCATGAACATACTTATCAGATTAAGAAAGTTAGCATAGAACTTATGGTTACATCTAGCCATTTCAACTGTAAAATGATGAGACCTTTCAACCAAAGTTTATCTTAAATTCATAAAGTCTAGGTACCATAGAGGAAAGTTCATCAGAACAAATGCCATGAACATACTTATCAGATTAAGAAACTGTTAGCATAGAACTTATGGTTACATCTTGCCATTTCAACTGTAAAATGATGAGACCTTTCAACCAATCTAGTACTATGCTTAAATTCATAAAGTCTAGGTACCAAGAGAGAAAGTTCATCAGAACAAATGAACATACTTATCAGATTAAGAAATTGTTAGCATAGAACTTATGGTTACATCTATTTCTGTAAAATGATGAGACCTTTCAACCAATCTTAATGCTTAAACTGTTAGGTACCATAGAGGAAAGTTCATCAGAACAAATGCCATGAACATACTTATCAGATTAAGAAATGTTAGCATAGAACTTATGGTTACATCTAGCCATTTCAACTGTAAAATGATGAGACCTTTCAACCAATCTAGTACTATGCTTAAATTCATAAAGTCTAGGTACCATAGAGGAAAGTTCATCAGAACAAATGCCATGAACATACTTATCAGATTAAGAAACTGTTAGCATAGAACTTATGGTTACATCTAGCCATTTCAACTGTAAAATGATGAGACCTTTCAACCAATCTAGTACTATGCTTAAATTCATAAAGTCTAGGTACCAAAGAGGAAAGTTCATCAGAACAAATGCCATGAACATACTTATCAGATTAAGAAACTGTTAGCATAGAACTTATGGTTACATTAGCCATTTCAACTGTAAAATGATGAGACCTTTTCACCAATCTAGTACTAAAATGATAAAGTCTAGGTACCATGGAGGAAAGTTCATCAGAACAAATGCCATGAAATCTTATCAGATTAAGAAACTGTTAGCATAGAACTTTAACATCTAGCCATTTCAACTGTAAAATGATGAGACCTTTCAACCAATCTAGGTAAATTCATAAAGTCTAGGTACCATAGAGGAAAGTTCATCAGAACAAATGCCATGAACATACTTATCAGATTAAGAAACTGTTAGCATAGAACTTATGGTTACATCTTGCCATTTCAACTGTAAAATGATGAGACCTTTCAACCAATCTAGTACTATGCTTAAATTCAAAAGTCTAGGTACCATAGAGGAAAGTTCATCAGAACAAATGCCATGAACATAC